AAAAGTGAATATTAGTATCGTGATCGAAAAGTGAACGGTATAAAGATATTAAAAATAGATATATATATATATATATATATATATATATATATACACAAATATATATCTCGTTATTTTTTCCGAACAACAATTATTGTATTTTTAATAATCGATTTAATAGAGAAAAATCGAGGTATATAAAAATCGTTTTATGATATTCGTCCAATTTTTCGTGCCATTTTTTTTCTGGTCGAAGAAATCGATTTGAATCGAGTCGTTCACATTTCGAGACACGAGTATGTTCGGTGTCGTGGAGAGGGGGGAAAAATAAAAACAAACGACCGATAGAAAGCGGCGCAATTAATGGCAGCCGGCATTGTAGTCCACGTTTCCAGGTGAAATTTACTCGGATAAAAAATGGAGCGATCGTTTATCGAAACTCGCCGTTCGTTTTTTCACGTTCTATGCGATACATTCGGAAAATCGTTTCTACTTTCCTTCTGATCGATATTCAATCGCCATTTTATCTCGATAATTGGTCGTTTGCAAATCCAATCTTCTGAATTTTATTCGCAATAATTGCAAGGGGAAGAAAATTTTATAGAATAATTATATAGTTTAAAAGTTTAAGACTACGGGAACAATGATATTTGATCAAAATAACGAATTATTATTCGATAAATAATATATTTAAAATTATTATAATATATCTCTTTTTAAATGATTTTTATTTTTTCACTATCTATTCACTATACGAACAAAAAGAAGGAATTTAAATTGAAAAGAGACAAAATTCTTTTATCGATATTCACATATAATTAAATCGATTTTGAACCGGAACAGTTGGATATTCCATATTCGGGAAATTGACGAACCAACAAGTGGTTCGAAAATCGAGGCTGGCTCGACCTCGATGAATCATCGTCATTAACGTGCGTAAAATATATAAAACACGACCGGTAATAATTATCTCCCGGAGCGGTAATGCTCGAATAATTACGTCGAACTCACGAAACGGTTGCACAGGTTTTCCAAAATTGCCATGCTCTCTTCCAAAAATTCGCTCGAAATATACACGTTAGCTGCCGCGACGATGGAACAACAATACAATTTAATTGCACCGCGGTGGATCGTTTATGGTGAAATAATATTATCAAATTATTAATAACCACATTTCCGCTTCTAACTGGTAGGAATATCAACACCGTTGTTGAAATTGCATCGTTACAAAGCTTGTTGAAGAAAATCAACAAGCAAATTGCACAACATTTCTCGTGCAATACCATTGCGAATTTTAACAATTTCACAGATCCTAGTTTCGAAAATAATTTTGAGGGAGAAAGAATCGCGATAAAAATATATATATATGTATGTAGATATACTTAAAGATACTTTTTATTCGTATCTATATTATAGTCTATATTATATTCTACTCCAAGCATAAGAATTAGAATCGAATCGAGGCTCGCGCAATGATTCGATTTTGGAATTTTAATTATTTATTTTATATCATTATCGAGTATCATTGCGCGATATATAAATACTTAGGAAAGGATATAAACATTTTCTAAAAAAAGAAAGAGAGAGAAATAACATGATTGAACGAAAAATAGAAATTTTAAATTTTAATTTAAAAAGCCTCGAACGATTTATTTTTATTCTTCGATTATTTTTATTTTCAAAATAAAAATAAAATTACCAAATTGTTATGATATACATAAATTGGAAAATTTTAGAAAAAGAGATGCCAATTTTAAAATGTAAAAATGTATCATTTCCAATTCTTTATTTCATTGACCGTGGTGAAAGGAAGAGACGAAACGTAAAAATCAGGATCCATTATCCGTGAAAAATGAAGGGTGTTCGCTTGAAACACGAGATACACGAAGGAACGGTAATATACAAAACAGATAAATAGTATCGATTTAAATGATCGGCTCGCACGGACTTTGCATGATAACAATCATGAAGTCATTAACAGTGGCAACAGGTTTTGTATTTTTTCTTTTTTTTTTTTTTTTCCTTTTTTTTTTTCCTGTCTGCTGTCGGTAATTGATTGAAACGAAAAGAAAATACCGGGAGCCGTGTCCGTGTTGTTAACTATTAACCGTGTCATTATTCATAAATAATATAATCGTGATTTGCATCGTTATGAACGATAATCGAGCAAGCTTATTCAACCGTGTATTTCTTGGTTAGAAAAAAAATTCATAAACTATTGTTATTAAATATAAATAATCGTTGTAGGATATATTGTGATTAATTAGAATAATCTATCTTTTTTTTTTTTTTCTTTGAAAAACTTGCTAGAATAAGAAATTGCAATTTGCACATGAAAAATTTATTTGAATAATTAAATTTAAGTGAATATATGTAAAAATATTTTATTTAAAGATTCTTTTCCTCTCCTCTTTCTCTCTCTCTTTTTACTTGAAAAATTTAAATTTTTATCGCGCAAAGAAAATTTTTTTTAGAATAGAATCGAAACGAAGAATATTTCGCGTCGATGCAACGTGGAATATATCGGTATATAAAAATTGGAGGATGCACGATAGTTAACAAGTTCTTTTTTTTTTTTTTTTTCCACCAAAG